TCTGGATGACTGGGCAGCTGCTAAAATGGTGTTTAGAAAAATTAAGTCACATAGCAGGATAACAACTAATTTAATGCAAGTGAAAAAAATCAGACTGCAAACCTGCATTAGGGCACGATCAGAAAGAGGAACGGCTGCACTTAGGAAAGTAGCCAGCAGGAGAGGCCTGCGGGGTGGGGGTGGGGGGCTTCCCTCTCTCTGCTGCTCCTGCGCTAATAACCTAACAACCCCAATAACTGCAGTCAGCACTCCTGGAGGTACCTGTCCCAGGCTGCCCCATCCTGAACCTCGCTGGGGAAACTGAGGCTCAGAACAGTTAAGTGCTTTGCCCCAGGTTCCTGGCTAGCAAACGCAGGGAGCTCTGTACTCCGAGAACCCAGCTCTTACTCCGAGACTGTGCCGGCCCCGCTCTGTGGGTTTGCTGGGGTACAGTGGTGGGATTTTCCAAGTTAAAACTCTACTTGAGATGGCCCGTGAGTTGCCAGTGCAACTGGGCCCTCCTTGGAGGGGGCGGGGTTCCCAGAGGAAGGAGGCAGGTGGCCAGCTGCCACGTGGATGGACGGGTCACCGGGCCACCCTACCTCCTCCTCTGGGTTCCAAAAAGATTCCAAGGGCTGGGAAAGACCTCCACAGATGGGCAAGAGAAAGGATGAAGGCCCCAAACTACACCAAGCCAACCACGCAAGCAGCCCCGGCCCCTGGTGGCCGCGACGGAGCCAGTGCCGGGGATGTGGGGGGGGCACCCACTGCAAGTTTCAGGTCAATGCTGGGCCCTTGCCAGCGGGGAGCCCCAGACCTCCCAGGCTTTGGGGGCTCCTCGAGGCCCCACCCCCACAGTGGGTAAGGCCAGCCCTGCACAGGGATTCCCGCCACCAGGCCAACATGGGGCAAAGGCTTTGTGAACACCGTGTTGGGGTTTAGCTCCCCCAGCAGGAACAGCGCAGGCAGAGGCTGCTTCCCGCTCCAGCAAGGGGGCTCTGCTCAGCCCCACCTGGGCGTGGCTTCCGCATGGGCGTGGCTTCACACCTGGCTGCTGGCTAACACTCTATGTGCCTCAGTTTCCTCCTCCACGCACGGAGCTCAGGATGACCAAGCTGCCACGCTCCTGGGGACCTCAAACGGCTCCGCTGCAACTGCCGAGCTGAGCAGTTCCTCAACAAGTGAGAGACACTGCCGTTAACAAGAACAATGGGCTCGCTCGCTGACCCAATGCCTGCTGGGCACCCACCCAGAGCCAGGCGCTGGGCAGAAGAAGATGCGTTCACTCCACACCTGTTTGCTGAGCACCGGCAACCAGGTGCTGACCACACAACAGACCGACCCCCACGCTCTTGGGGTCCCTCAGTGTGGAGAAGACAGCAGACCACACAGCAAACACGGAGGCAGGCGGCGCACAACCCAAGGAAACTGAGGGAAGATGAGGGGGTAGGAAGCGATGGCGGACGGGGGGCTGGTGCTGTTTTATAAACCTTAGTCGGGGAAGGCCTCTCTGAGCAGGTGATCCCCGGGCAGGCACCGGGCGGGGCCGACAGAGGAAGCCCGAGCTGCTCTCTGCCTAGATTGACGGTTTCCATTTCCAGAAAACTCCTACTCATCCACTGAAACCCTGTTTGGGTGTTGATTGCTCCCTAGACAGATGGCACTCGGCCCAGAGGTCTGGAGACCCGTGGGACAGCTGACTGCTGTCTTCAACATCGCAGAAAGCCTGCCCGCCCCCGATGCGTTGCCAGGGAGCGAGGAGGGACGTTTTCAGATCAGTTCCTGCCAGTGAGGGACTCCCGTGTCTCCTCCCTGTGAGCAGACGGCACCTCTTCCAGGTGAGGGGCGTCGGTCACGTCATCTGCTGGAGCACCGCCCCAGCCCCCACTGTCAAAAAAAAAGGCAGCAAGATTGGAACCCAAGCCTGTCAGCCTCTAAGAGCCTTTGCGCCTGCCCGCTCCGCTGTCAGCCTGTAAGAAAGCAGGGACTTTCTAAGAAGACAACCAACCCAATTAAAAAATGGGAAAAGGACTTGAATAGACACTTCTCCAAGGAGGACATACAGAGCATCCAGAGACACATGAAGAGACGCTCAGTATCGCTAGCTATCAGAGAGATGCAAATTAAAACCACAATGAGATACCACTTTACACCAGTCAGGATGGCTATCATAAACAAAGCAACAAACAACAAATGTTGGAGAGGTTGTGGGGAAAAGGGGTCCTTAGTTCACTGTTGGTGGAACTGCAGACTGGTACAACCATTATGGAAAACAGTATGGAATTTTCTCAGAAAAATAAAAATCGACCTGCCTTTTGACCCAGCAATTCCACTGCTAGAATTATATCCTAAGAATCCTAAAACATCAATTTCAAAGAACCTATGCACCACAATGTTCATAGCAGCACAATTTACAATAGCCAAGAGCTGGAAGCAACCTAGGTGCCCATCAGTAAATGAATGGATCAAAAAATTGTGGTACATATACACAATGGAATTCTATGCAGCAGAGAGAAAGAAGGAGCTACTACCCTTTGCAACAACATGGATGGAACTGGAAAGCATTATGCTGAGTGAAACAGGCCAGGTGTTGAAAGACAAATACCATATGATCTCACCTTTAACAGGAAGCTAAACAACAAAACAAACAAGCAAGCAGAAAAAAAAAACAAAGACAATGAAATAGAGAACAAGGGGACAGTGACCAGAGGGGAGAGGGAAGGGAATTTAAGGGGAAAAAGGGGGAGGGATTTGGAGGAACAAATAGGAAGGACACAGGCACGAGAACTAAGGGGGGTGGAAATGAGAGGGAGGTGGGGAGCACGGGGCGGGGGAGGCCGGGATGGGAGAAATAGACAAAAAACTGTACTTGAAAAATAACTAAATAAAATTTAAAAAAGAAAAGAAAGCAGGGACTCGTAGCGGGCGGAGTTGCTCCGATGCTGGTGCTTGGCTTCCGGAGGGAGTGAGGGCTGGACCCTGGGGCGGCCCCTGCGAGGCAGCTCCTGCCTGGGCAGGGGCGGGAGGGGTTCCGAGGCCGACACCTGGAAACGCTCCAGTCCCGGACCTGGCCCTGCTCTGAGAGGTGGGAGGAGGACCAGAGCAGGTGGGGAATCGAAAACCCCAGGTGGCCTGAGCCAGGGAAGTGGGTCACTGAGTGATGGACCGTCATCTCTCGGTGGACAGTTAATGCGGCCATTAAAGCAGTGGTTACAAAAAGGTCTCAGCAAGGCAGGAAGCTCGCCAGGACATAATGCTGAATGAAAAGCCCATGACACAGTTTTACATGCGGATGGCAGCGACTGTGAAGTGAAAATGCACAGATGAGGGAAGAAAGCCGCAGGGGCAACGGCTGCACTCGGTGCCAGGGCTGCCAGCATGACGCAGATGGCAGGGACAAAGAGAGAGGCCACCAGGCTGACAGGGTCAGGAGGCAAAAGCAGGGAGAGAGAAAGGGGGGCCCTCGGGCACAGCGGCGGGCTGTGGGGGCTTCTGGGTGGGACACAGAGGGAAGAGGAACTCTTGGGGGTGCTCATGAGCATTCTGAGGCCTCTTGGCCTCGTGCACATGCTCTGGCACTTCCTGATGCGACCATCAGGTGAGGACACACTTGGGTGATAGACAGCCCAGAGTGTCTGCCGTGAAGGACGCACGTCTGAGCAGACCCACCAGCGGGAATAGGCCAACAGGCTATGTGTCACTTCCACTCGTCACTTCCATACCACCAGGAGCCCCCGTCAAACTTTGCTGAGCAAGGCCGGGTCTTTGTGTCCTGTGTGATCGATGGGGCAATTATTCGATCAATAAGCACAAGCTGATTTAAGTGTGCCCTGTTAATTATTTAAGTCATCCATTATTGAAAAGGTCACCGCCCATTAGCTGTTTAAGTGGTCATTCGCTAGCATGGTTGCATCTCCCGTGAGAACACAGCCATGGTGAACTGAGCACCTACTATGTGCCAGGCATTTCATCCTCAGGACAAGCCCAGGGTGAAAGGGGTGCGTTCTTCCTGAGGACTGGAAGGAAGGTTAAGGGGGTGAAGTAACTTGCCTGAAGTTACGAGCTGGTAAATGGCAGGGATGGGACTTGAACCTGGCTTGGGTTGCTTTCAAAGCTCATGGACTTGGCAGTGACCACTGTGACATAGGTTTTTGCACCTCAGTCTTGCAGCCTGGGCACGGTGTTATGACGTCCTGGGGTCATGTGCCGGTGGCTGCAGTTGAGCAGGCCCCCTGCACCCCCAGAGCGTCAGAACCCCTGCGCCCAGCCCTAATTGGAGCACCTGCACTCAGCCCGGTTCCTGCAGGGGCTGACTCCTGCCAGCAGCACAGACGGGCCCTGCTCCAAGGTGCACAGGCCCCGCCCCCTTCTTCCGGCTCGGCTCTGCGGCCAGGGCCCCCCAGCTCAGGTTTCTCCCCTCCCGCCCGTCAGACTGGGACCAGGCAGACATGAGAGTCACAGCAGAGGAGGTCGGCCTGGAACACGCTCCCCCAGCCCTACAAGAGCAGTCCCCCAAGACCCACCTCCCTCCCTGGCTTCCTCCCCTCCTCCCGAGGCTCACCGAGCAGGCTGCCCGCACTGTGCTGCCTCAGATGCCTTCCGGGACTCAGCACGTGTGCAGGATGGAACCCAAGAGGCTCACGTTCCAAATTCATGCTGAAAAACCTTCCCCCCTGCCCCTCACAGACCGATTTGCTTTCTTTAACCAAACTTCGAAAACTTGGAAAGCCACTCGATTTCCCCTTTTGCCTTGGCAGCTGGGGAGCTCCCAACGCCAGTTAACACTCTGTGACAGTGACTCTCACACCAGGCTCTAGGTGCAATCCACTTGCAAGCTATGCTTCCAGGCTCCATTTCCTCCCCTCGTTTTGACTCCCCTGTCCGGGCACATGTTACGATGGGCAACTTCGCATCTTTCTTCACAAATAATCAGGTAACTGACGAGTCGAACACAGTGGTGATAATCATCTAGTATTTTCCCAGCTCTGTGGGCAGCCGGGGACCCGATTGCAACCACTCACCAGGCAGACGAACTCTGGAAGGTCACCAGCGGTGGGCTGTGGGTGTCTCCCTGCAGCGTGTGCACAGCCTGGGGGGCTTGTGGCAGGGAGCCTGGGGGAGGCTGGGGCTGCGGGGCCGGCTGTGCTGGCCGGGGCCCCCGGGCAGGGTTCCCCCACCGCCGGGGGTCCGGCTTCATCCAGCGTCCATGGATGCCCCACCGCGCCAGGTAAACCTTGCAAATGTCGTAGTTCATGGCCGAGTAATACAAAAGATCCAGGACCAGCAGCATCAGCACGAAAAACCCATAGATCCACACTCCCAACAGGGCGGTGTAGTTGCTGGGGAAACACAAAGCAACAGAGAGGCTGAGAGGGACGACAGCGGTCAGTCGGCTGGGCGATCGGAGAACACAGCGCTTTTCCGGGTCCCAGGGGGCAGGGCCCTGAGGACTCCTGGCCCCCTTTCCTCACACCCACCCTCCCCATCGTCTCCCCGAACTGCCCCGTCTGCCTCCTCCCGGACCCTGGAATCCGCTGCCCTGGACCCTGTCAGCTCCCCCACACTCCAAGTCCTTGGGCGGGGGACTTGGTGGGGACGGGAGGGGCAGACACTGGTAAACCTGTGACCAGACCATGAAAACTTGGAAAGCCACCCATTTTGCCCTTTTGGAGGGGACTCTCAGTCGGGCGTTCGGGGCTCCCAGGCTGTGGCAGACTCTCCCTTCACCCTCAGGTCCCCCCAACATGGGTGCTACTCACAGACCTGCCATGGACAGACCTGTCCCTTGTGGGTGCCCCCTGCTGGCCCACCCCCGGGGCCCTTGTTAAGCTGTTTCTGGCCCCGGGATGCCAGCTCCGCCCCATCTTGCTGGGCCCAGGCCAATGGGGGACTGCTGTCGTCTCAAGACAAATTGACCCAAGTTCCAGAGCCGTAAGCCCCTGCCCCTCAGCACCTACACAGTGCCTACCTCCCACCCCCACAGGCTGCGGAACTCGGCCAGGGCACCCAACTCAGGCCCGGCTTCTTCCCAGCCTGCTCCCAGCCTCCCTCCTTCTCAGAAGCCCAGGAAACAGGGCATCAGCTTGGCCGCCCCTTGCACGCCCCGCGCAGCCGTCACTGGTCCTGGCTGTTCCACCTGCCCCCTGCCCTCCCTCTACCCCCGCCCCTCTCGGTCCCCTTCACCAGGCTGTGTGCAGCAGGGGGGTCTCAGGGCCCCCACATCATTGTTGCCCTTCATTTACCCAGCATTTCCCACCGAGGGCTTGGGCCCTCCAGAAGCTGCGAGTGCCCACAGCCCCTTTGTGCAGCCTGGACCCCCGCCCCAGCTGCGCCTTCACCAAGGAGCCGGCCCTGCTGGCTCTGACGCCAGGCCTTCCGTTCCGCACCTGCTTCCTCCCTGGCCGGACTCCAACCACCGCCTCTTGGAGACCAGACGTGCTGTTCCTCCAACAGGGTGGACCAGGCCCCTGCTCCAGCCTGGGCGACCCTGAAGCCCAGCCCCACCGCCGGGACCACCTGGTGTATATCTTCCTGCCCAGGCCAGGTCCAGGTGTGCCCCCTGCCCCCTATGCCCAGGGAGGGCCCTTTTCCCGGCTTGCCGCTGCAGCTGGGGCTGCTTTGCTCTGAGCAGTGCTCACCAGGGACTCCGGCTGTTTAAAGAGACCAGTGTACCAATCACTCAAACGCCGCTGCTGCCATCTGCCCATGTGGGTGTGCCCCGGCGGGTGGCAGACCCGTGGCCTGCCCCTGAGAAGCGGAGCCTCGCTGCCCCACAACCCACAGGGCAGGACCCACCCCAGCTCTCACCAGACAAGGCCTCTCCTTGTCCTAGGTCCCCATAGCAGGTCCCTCTAGAACCTGCCTGGAGCCGGGGAGCTGGGCTTGGGTTCTGGTTCCTCATTGGCCCGGCTTTGCTGTGTGGCCTGGGAGAATTGCTGCATCTCTCTGGGCCTGGGGAGCAATGAGGTGGAGCCCTTCTGGTCTCAGTTCCCAGACTCTGCACCTGTTTTCCAGCTCAGTTCACGCCAGCCCAGCCTTGGCCTCAGCAAGGAGATGGGGCTACTCCCCTCCGACCACCTCCCAGGGCTGGACGGGCCAGGATGCTCACTGTGCTCACCTGTGCCCTCTGCCTGGAATGCCCTCCTCCCCACCCCACCCCACCCCTAGTGGCCCCTCCAGGGAGAGACCTCTGCAGGTCGGAGCCCTCGACAGAGCGGAGCAGGCACTACAGGAGATCGGGGCTGCATCTCTGCCTGAGCCATGAGTAACCAGAAAGTTTCTATCACAGCCACCTGCCTGCAGTCCCACCACCAGCCACCACCTCCATGAGGCCGGCAGGAGTCTTGGGGGCTCGTTCAGGCTAAGGTGTGAGTGACTGCCAGTCTTGTGCAAAGGCAGCCACACTTACTGGGAGACGCCTGAATGTGCCAGGACTCCCCTGGCAGCTGGTGTGGCATGCTGCGGCAGGAGTCCTGGGGTGGACATCCCCAAGGACAGAGGAGGACATCCCTGGAGCCCCCACAGGGGTGTGTAAGCACTGTGCTTCCTCAGGGATTCCCGAGGCAGCAGCCGAGGGGGCTGAGGCAGGGTACAGGGAGGGGCCAGCAGGGGCAGTTGTTTTCGGACACTGCCCTGCAGGGAGGGAGTCCAGGACGGGGTCAGCTGGGGGTGGCGGCTGGACCGTGGCTGGGCCTGGAGCCTCCCGGACTGGGAAATGGCACGTCACGGAAGCAGCCGGGCAGGCATTGCTCTAAACGCTTCCACCTCTCAGCCCCTCCAACACCTGTGTCCAGAGGGAGGGTTATTGGTATCATCCCCACCCCCTGTTTACAGACAGAGCAGGAGGCTCAGAGGAAGAAAAGGTGTGTCTGAGGTCTCACGGCCATTCAGTGGCAGAGCCGGGACTGAACCCGCAGTCTCACCCCGAGACACACATCCAACCATGGCCACATCCCCCCTGGACAGGTGCCCCCCAGGTTCTGAGAGCAGACCAGCCAACTCCAGCGCTTTGTCTACGCTACTCCTCCGCCTGGAACTCGATCCTGACCTGCTGTGCCCCCAGCTGGCCCTGCCCCCATGTCTCAGAACAGCTGTCACCTTCTCCAGGAAGCCACCCCTGGGCTCCTAAAGCCACTGGGTCTCCCAGAACACAGGATGCTGCCTTCACTGTTCCGTGGGACTGTTGGCACCTTGGGATCACAGCTGCCTGGGGCCGGGACCGGGTCGTCTTATCTCTGTGTGCCCAGATGTCAGCACAGGGCCACCTTTGACGCTATGTAAGCCAATGCACACTGAGGGCTGACGGCAATCTGGTGACCATGGTGGCCTGGACACTAACTTCGTCACTAGGCTGCATCTTCCCTGCACACGCTCACTAAGAGTTAACAGTCTGACAGCGATCACAACACTCAGTGCCCGGGGTCACCGACTGAGAAGCCCATCGGTCTCCCCAGTTCACAGAAGAGGAAATGAATCTCAGAGGGACAGAGCCCCTGCTAAAGGCGCACAGCCAGAAAGTGGCCATGCTTGGTTGGCATCCGGGTCCACTTGACTTCAGACTGTGCTGAAACTTGGAGAAATCCCAAGGTCAAGTCCAGGACAAACACCCAGGGAGCCGGCTCACACCTGTGTGGGTACCCACTTGTCCCAGCTCGCCTGCCACCGGGACCTGAGGATGGGCTCCAGTCCCCCCCCCCGCCCCCCGCACCATCTCATCATGTCCCTGTCATCACAGACAGGCCTTGGTGACACAGATCTTAGAGAAGGGGATCTGGAACGCCCCCTGCAGGAGGTGCCCCCTTCCCTGACTCCCACTTCCCTGGAGGCGGCAGCCAGCTGGGGAGTCAGGCCACGGGCACCATCACCAACGGCTCTCTTGCCTTCCACGGCCAGCCCTGTTCATGGCTGGCTGGCTGGGAGCATCTTGTTTTTGTTTTTTTTAATTTAATTAAAAAATATGATCTGGAAATTAATTCTGTGCAGATGCAGAGGTCTTTTATGGGTGTGTGTGTGTGTGTTTAAAGGGCAGAAGCTAAAATAGAGGCCGTTTTATGGGGCAAGATGTGAAGCCAGCCAAACTTCAAGCTCTTCATTCTATTTTGGGACATTTGCTGATTTGCATTCTTTGGATGTTTCCAGAGCAATGAACGAGACCTTCTCTGACCGAGGAACCTCACTGAACACCTTCCGGAGATGGGAGCAAGCAGGTCAGCAGAGAAGCAGCTGCGCCTGGTGGGAGCCGGGGCAGACGGAAGAGGGGAGCCCTGTCAGCACCCAGCAGGGTGTCCGGCCTCACCCAAAACACCCCAGCACCCAGGCCACTGTGAGGCAGCCTGTGGGCTGTGGCGGCCGGCTAACCGGTGCTGAACTCTGGACTGGGTCAGGGCTGTCTGAATGCCAGTGCCAACTCGGCAACACGCACTCACTGTGGTCTCGGGAAGCCATCTGCAACCCGGATGACAGGGCTCGCTAGGTGTGTGTGCGGCGCCAAGGCTTAGAGAGATGCCACGGGGCCTGGAGGAGAAAGGGCCCGGAGGGGCTGCTCCTGTGACTAAAGCATCTGGGTGCTCACCGCTCCCAGCCCAGAGAGGCAAGGCAACTTGCCCAAGGTCACACAGCAGAACGAAGTTGTCCAGTGCCTGAGACACATGGGCTTGGGGCCAATGAAGTAGCATCCACAATACTCGCTGGCCCTCCCTACAGGCCTGCCCCCGGGATCCAGCCTGGGTGTCTCCCTGGCTGGAAACAGATTTGGCCCAGTGATGTGCTTTGGCCAAATCAAACAAACAAACAAATAAACAACAAAAAACCACACAAAAATAAACACAGGTTGACACTGTTGCTCCCGAATGGGAGTTGCTCTGTGGCTTTGCTGACACTCTTCCCCTCTGCTGTGGGGGCTGCTCCATCAGCCTGGGGCACAGAATGCTCATGCCAGAGCCACAAGGGACCTCAGAGAGACCTGGGGTGGGAGCCAAAAATAAGCCTTTGTGCCTCAAGCCCCAGGGTCGTCCCTGGGGCTACTCGTTCTCATGGCATAACTGAGCCCGGGTCTCGAACCCCACTCTGCCGTGCGGACACTGTGTGACCACGGGCAAGTCCTCACCCTCTCTGAGCCTCGGCCCTGGTGCAGCGTAGCCAGCGAGGCCTCCTCTATGGAGACACCTCCACGCAGGTGAACGGGTTGGTGGGTGGCCCCTCCCACCACCCCAAGTGCTCCTAAGTGCTCACTTGTCTCCCGTCCCCGTGTGTGGGAGACCCTCCCCTGTCTACAAGGCCGCCAGTGTGAGGAGGTCTTACACCTAATGGGCCTTGATGGGGTTGAGCAACCAACAAGACCACCGAGGCTTCCGACCTCATACCAGGGCTGGACTCAGAGCCCGGAGCATGCTGGGGGGTGGTGCCCGGCCCACGGGACCAGCCCAGAGCACCGGGGGCCCTGCACCCGGCCCTCTGTGTGACTGGCACACTTCTGAGCACTGGGGAAGGACAGCTTCAGGGAAGAGGTTTCAGGTGCAGAGTGAAGCCCTGGTCCACCTGCCCCTCCAAGGCCTCTGAGCATGCTCTGTAGTGCTGGGAGCCCTCTCCCACGTGCCTGCCCCAGAGTCCACCTGTCTGGCGAAGGAGCACCCCGGCCTTGCACAAAACTGCTCTCCTTGTCACCAGGGCCAGTGAGACCTGTCCTCCGAGAGCGGACTGCTGACCCCTCACACCCCACCCCGTGCCCATCCACCCTGTGCCCAGGGCAGACGCTCTGGCCCAGTACCCGCATTGGAGAGTGAGCGGCACCTCTGTCCTGAACACCAGGGGTCCCTCGCCTGGCACTGGGCTGGGCATGGCTGTGTCCCTTGCTCAGCCTGCTCTTCCTTCCGCCAGGCAGCCAGAGCCAAAACAAAGCATCCTTTTCCTCCCGGAAAACACAGATAAATGTCGTCAGCAGCGCTCTCCAGTGCCCTGTCAGTGGTCCCGCCTCCTGGCTGATTGACTGGCAGGGCGGCAGGGTGGCAGGGTGGGTAGGTGCCAGGTAGTCCTTGCCCCTGATGGACCTTGTGCATCTTCATGAAGCCAGACCTGGGTCACGGCTGCCCTGGTCGGTGCAGACCGAGGCCGGTGGACGCTGCCCTGTCTGGGATGTGGGACCAGCTGGCCTCTTGGCTGAGGTTTGGTGCATCAGACACATCCTGGCAGTGGCAGAGCCAGTGGCCAGGACAAGGACCTGGGTGTCCCCCAGGTCAAGGGACTGGAGCAACAACAGGTGAGCGCACCTGCCTGAGCCTGGCCCTTCCTTCTCCCTCCTGGAGTAGCTGTGAGGATTAACGACTCACCCAGGGGATGACCAATCCAGTGCCCCCAAGGGCGGGGCAGTCCCCGAGAGGGACTCCACCTGGCTCCCCTCACACACCAGGGCCCTCCAGGACCTCCTGGCCTCGCAGGCCCTGTCCCTCCGGGTCCACAGACCCACCCTGAACAGAGCTCTGGGACTCAGCTCTCTCCTCCCCACGGCACAGCTCCAGTCGCCCCTCTGCCACACCCTCCCCCACGCCTTGCTGCCCTCAGGAGAAAGTCTGAGCGCCCACCCTGCTCCCTCCCGACCCCACTGCCTGTCCGGTCCCCACTATTCTCCTCACACGTGACACTAGGGCCCAGGGTTGGGACTCTGCCTGGAAAGTCTCATTCCTCTGGACCCTGTGGCTCCCACCGTCTGAAACACTTGCAAACACACAGGACTGGGCCCAGGCCTCGCTCCAAGGGCGCAAGGAGCTGTGTGACTGGACCAGTGGGGTGAGGAGTGGGGCTCACCGCACGACCAGGCAGCTGCTGGGCCACCCTGGGCCCGTCCGGGATGTGGAAAGGGAGGTGGTGGGTGGGGCACTCAGTGAAACAAGGAACAAGACATCCCCCCAGAGTGGTGGCTCTCCCCCGGGGGCTGATCCTGCACCCACACTTCATCGTCCGAGACTCGGCTGCCTGGCACAGCCAGGGTGCTGGGTGGGGCCAGCAGTGCAGCCCCCCAGGGAAGGGCGGGCCCAGGTGCCCACACGGCTTCCGCCCGCATCCCCGCCTGCGGCCCCTCCGGCTCCAACCTGGGCCCCATGGCTCCGCCATGGACCGGTAGCCCTAACCAGGCAGGTTACTTGGCTTCTCCCAGACTCTGCTTCCTCCAGTCTGTGGGCGAAGGATGGGGACTCAGAGGGGAGAGCTGAGCACAGAGCCCGTGCACCGCGCTGCACGCTCCGTAACACTGTGCCGCACACTGCGTAACACCGGCCGCACGCTCTGTAACGCCGTCTGAACTTCCAGCATAAGAGCTGAGCTAAGCTTCTGATCTTCAGTGTTTCCGGTCCCCGGAGGGAAGGCCTCTGTTTGGGGCTCCCGCTCTTCGCCAGCATGGCCAGGGCCCACTGTGAGATCCGTGTGACATCCTGTGTGAGGGCTCGAATTACAGAAAGCTGCCGGCCGCCAAACCAGGGTCCCAGACACCGCTCACCAGAGCCTTGGAGAAGTCTGGCCATGCTCCTGTCTTCTGTCTGGCGTTTGGCTGGCAACCACAACAGGACATGTTGGGGTCCTCACCCCAGTCCTGGCACTACTCTCCCCCCTCAGGGCATTGGTCGTTGCTCTTATAATCGGCTTGGGCGAGATTCTGGGCCTGGTTCCCACCCTTGTCACGGGCAGGCCTTGCTGACAGACTCCACATACAGGATTGTTCTAAGGCCTGAGCAGATGGGAAGACATTCACCCTGCATCTGAGGAAGGAAGGCTGGGGAGCCAGCTGTGGCCGGAGGAGGGGAGACGGGGAGAGAGTCAAACTTCCTGCCTGACCAAAGGGAACAGAGAGGCGACTTCCCCAAGCGAGCTGGGCGTCGTGGGAGAGCGCCAGAGCCCCAACCTCAGACAGGCCAGGACTCGGAATCCCTTCGACAGTCACTCAACAGACACTCCTTCCAAGTGGGTTTTTCTTCCCCACAAAAAGAATACGTTTGCCCTAAGAATCAGCCTCAGAGTTATTAGCGAAATATCTGAAGCATCCCCATTCAAGTGAGGAGGAGGATAAGAATGCCCGACAATTTCACAGCCTGTTTTAGAGGTGCTTGCCAACAGGATTAGACAAGAAAAAGAAGTGAGGCACAAACTTGGAAAGCAGGAAATAGTGATCATTGTTTGCAAATGGCAAAGTAAACCTAAGAGAAGCAACTGAAGAAGTATTACAGAGATGAGAAATATTAGTAAGCTGGCTGCGTGTAAAATTCATGTGTAGAAACCACTGGGTAAGATCCTCTGAACAGCAGTTGCTTAGAAGATCTAGTGGAAGAAAAGACCCTATTTATAGTAGCATAAAAATACATAGAAATAAATGTGAAAGATATGTATGATATCTATATAAAGGAAACTCCAAATTACTATGAAAGACAATTTGAACAAACGGGAAGACAGAGCATGTTCTGGGAGAGGAATATTCAGCATCATGAAAAGTCAAATCTCCTGGAGTTAATGTATGAGTTCAACACAATCTCGGGAAAAATACCAATTGGGTTTTTGGAGGGGTGGGCAGGGGCACCACACAAGCTAATTCCCGAGTCCTTATAATGAAAGAGCCGTGGAGAACAGACCGAGACGACTTTAAAGCACAGTAAAGGTACAGCGTGGTATTGACCACAGCCCGGTGCTCGCATGTGGGTAGAAAATCCACTTCACACCCAGTGTTCCCTACCTAATACTTTAATACTCAAAGTGAGTACATTACAGAATATGAGTTTGCATTTCTCGCCAGTGGGAAAAAGACAGACAACTCAGTGGCTGGTGTTGGGACAGTAGACTATCCACCTGGAAAAATTAAAACAATTTTGATTCCTACCTCAAAGCTGATATCCAAATACATTTCTGACAAAGATTTGAAGGCAACAAATCAAAACATAAAAGAAGTAAAAAAAAGGGGGGGGTATTTTTAATGATGTCAGAGTAAAGAAAGTCTTTCTTAGTATGATACAAAAGCCAGAAGACATTTTTAAAAATTAGACACAACTGACTATATAACAATTACAAATAAAGCATGAGCCCTGGCTGGTGTGGCTCAGTGGACTGCGTGATGGCCCGAGAGCCAAAGGGCCACCAGTTCAATTCCTAGTCACAGCACATCCCTGGGTGGAGGGCCAGGTCCCCAGTAGGGGGCATTCGGGAGACACCACACATTGATGTTTGTCTCCCTCTCTTCCCCCCTCCCTCCCCCTCTCTCTAAAAATGAATACATAAAATCTTTTTTAAAAATTGAGCATGGGGAAAAAAATCACAAATTCAGACACATTGTGAAAATCTTTGTAATGCATATTCCCTTCACATGTAAAGAGTTCCTATAAATAAGTAAGAAAATGGACAAAGATACAACAGAGGCCGTATACGGCTAGCTCAGAGGAAGAGAAACACAAACGGCTCTCCGACGCATGACCGGATGCTCAGTGCCGCTCAGAATGAGAGAAGCGCAGGCTGCTTCCGCCTGAGCACACGCCCACTGTTTTCCTGCTCCGAACCCGCCCCTCTGACCACCCCTCAGGGCCCCCTCCATCGGCCCCGTCTCAGGTTCTCCAATCACCCCAGGGAAGGAGGCTGTGTCCGAGTAACCTCTGGGTCAACGGTACCAACAAGAAACTGTCGAACGAATAAGGAACCAATGAAGGAACTTGGGTCCCCTGGGTTTTAGGCCCAAGCACTTTTTGCCTAAAAGCCTTCCACACACATGACCTCATTTAATTTGGCAGCAGTCCTGAGAGGTAGGCGTCACACGCCCATTTCTCAGATGGAAAGGCCGAAGCTCTGAGGATAGAACCAGCCAGAAAACCTGGTCCTTTGAACTCCCCCAGGTTCCTCGCAGCCACCCCCCATCCTGGCTGCTGTTCCCCAACAGCTGCCCCGGGGCATGGGGTGCACAGCCAACGCCCAGCCTTGAGGGGGGCCCACTCGGGGGCGGGGCACTTACTTGTGCGCGTAGCCCTCAGAGCTGGCCGTGAGGTTCGCCTGCATCACCGCCTGGAACTCCGTCTCGTTGCAGCAGTACTTGAAGACTGTGTTGTTATGGTGACAGCACAGGATGAAGGTTTTGTTGTCCGAGAGCCGGGGGCAGTGGAAGCCGAAGTGATAGTGGCCTTTGTGGTCGGTGTAGGGCTCACAGACCCGGAAATGCGCGGACAGGACTGGAAAACAGAGGCCCGGGGCTCAGCAGGTGCCCTCACAGGCCGGAGCACCAGTGGTGGGGCCTGGTGGGGCCTGGTGGGGCCTGGTGGGTCTGGCCTAGGGTCCCGCGGGTCTCTGCCCACCGAGCGAGCCTCACCTCCATCAGGAAGGCCCCTCCGGGCTCCCACCCCCTCCCTCCGACCACAGACCTGCACACTCTGTGGCCCCCACCTGGACTCCTCCCGTGGACCCTCCCTGGCATCTCTGCACACCGCAGGCACTCACCCAGGATGAGTTAGCTACAGCCTTGCAGGCTCTGCCTCCTTTAGGCCAGCCGGCTACTGTAACGGGCAGGTCTGAGGGCCCACTTTACAGATGCAGAAACTGAGGCTCGGAGGCCTGCCGTGACCTGCCTGAGCTGGGAGGTGCTGGTGGAGTGGGCATCCACCCAGGCCTGCCCCCCGTGGGAGCCCTCTGCATGCCGCCATCACTGGCTTTACCCGCCTCTGCCGCTGTGTGGCCAGGGTTCGGGGGAGGCCTGCCAACAAGCCCGGGCTGGCTCTGGGTGCAAGAACCAGTCCCCCTTGGGGAGAAAGGGAACCCGCTGCGTACCTTGGTTTCTACTAAAGCAGTTCCCTAGACCTGAATGTGCCCAGAGGCCTGTCCCAGTGGCCCCGCCTCCTAGTGACAGCTGCCCTGGCCTCAGAGGGAGGCCCCTGTGCAGCCTCTGCGGCTGCTGCCAGCCCAGGACGGCATTTATTACTGTCGTGCCAATGGCGATAAGCAGGAGAGAAACTTGAATAAATATAACAATGGAAAAATCCTGGAGCCGCTGTCTCGGGCTTAATTAGTACCTTCATAAAAGGGATCGCTGTATCTAATTTGTATCACTGAAAAGGGCCCTCGCTGGCTGAATACATTTCTCCAGCCACAAAGGCGCTGCTTTGGCACATGCTCCTCTGGCTGGTTGGAAGCTCTGTCTCCATGAGGGGCGGTCAGAATGCAGCCCACCCAGCTCCTAGTGTCCTCTGCCCGAGCTGCTCGGGGTGTCCCAGTGCGGCCGTGCTGGCCGGTGGACCCCTGGATGGCCTGGGGAGCCCCTGGACCCTGCCCTAAGGCCAGCGCTCTCTTCTGTGGAAGGGAGCACAGCCACTGCGGGAGCCGGGTCCCTACACCTCAGCAGTCAGGGGAGCACCAGGACCCCGGCTCAGCCACCTCCTCGGGGAACAGAAGGCCTCTCAGGGGATGCAGAGGTCACCGAGTAAGTCCCCAGAGGTACACCTTCTCGTTTAGTCCCGTGTGCTCCCATTGTATGGATGAGAACACCGAGGCCCAGAGCTGCGGTCTCCAAGTGTGAGCTGCCGAGCTGCGTGCTCTGAGGGCTGGTGGGCAGGACCTTGGACTTTTTGAATCAGAAGCACTGGGCTGGGGCCAGGGAGTGTGGACTGGCACTGCTGACGGGCTTGGGTTCGGGACGCGGGGCCTGGGGAATGACATGCTGGAGGTGGAGATGAGCAAGGGGGCACAGAGGTTCCGAGAGAGACACAGGGAGAGACAGACAGAGACGGGGTGACGGGCAGGGCTCAGCTGGTCAGGGCTCAGCCGGTCAGGGCTCAGCGTGCGCGGCCACCCTTGCTGTTGGGATTAGAGCAGCTTCCCTGGTCAGCCGGTGCTGCTTTGGAGACGCTGAAGGACTGGGTTTCCACCCATCTTCGTCAACAGGAGAGTGAGACCCCACCTGCAACCCCAGCTGGGGCCCCGGCATGGCCTAGGAGGCTGATGCTAGGAGGCGGGGCCCGGGTGTCACGCAGCGGGGGTTCGAATCCCAGCCCCTCACTGGCTGGGCTGTCTCTGGCTAGCTGGCTTCCTCCCCAAGCCTCAGGGTGTGCTCATCCACACAAGGGGAGGCCTACGACATCACTGCCCTTTGACTTGAAGGAGCAGGGGAGAGAATTCCAGTGAGGTCCTCTCCCAGGCTGGCTGGCAGCCACCGTGAAGCCCCCAGCCTCTGAGAAAACGTCTCAGCTGCGCCCCCAGGCGGGTGCATGGGGTGCAGCCCTGAACAGAAGCTCCTCATGAGGGGGATGCCAGTGGGGCAGTGGACTCCGAGCACCCCTAGCCAGCACCCATGATGCTGGCTGGGCTGGCATGGGCCTGGGAAGGGTCGCCTTGCCCCCCACATCTCCCCCCCACCAAGCTCGGCAGCCTTACCTGCCGAAATCAGCAGTGAGAGGACAGTGAGCAGGTTCAGGGACCGCTGGCCACAACTGGTCATCATTCGGCTTGCATCGGTCCGTCCAGCGCCGCCTGTTCAACGAGACCCGGAGAGGCCGGTGTGGGCTGCGGTCGGCGGCGGCCGAGACAGACACTGGCTGTGCCGTCCACAGCGGGGAGCACGGCGCAGACGGGGACGCGGGTTTGCTGGGGGCAGGGGCCGAGCCGCGGAGGATGGAAACAGGCCATCCAATTTCCTTTCTGGAACGCATGACCTTCCCCCACTAGTCAACTGTCACCTCCTCTTCTTTTCTCGGCAAAATGAGACTTCGTCAGCGGACGGGTGGCGCAGGTGGTGGAGATAACCGAGGGGCGGCCTCGGGAGGCGACTGCGCGGTGGGGGGGGGGCCGTTGCCCTGCTGTGCACGAGCCCTGACTTCTGTGTTTAACCCCGCCGCCGTGCGCATAGGGCCAGCCACCTTCCAGGCATCGGGGACCCCGTGGTAAACTGAACAGACACAAGCAGAACTAAACAGCAACCGTGCCTGCCCTGGCAGGCGCTCACTAGTGACAACCCACAAACAGATGGACATTTAAAACGCTCCGAGGCCCCTGGGGAGACGGCCTGGAGCACGGGCAGCGGGGACTCGCGCAGACGCAGCTCACGGGCACCGGCCGACAGGTGGGAACAACCAGCGTCTGCAGACGGATGAACGAAGAAACCCAAACAGGCCCATCCGGGCAACGGAAGGACAGTCCGCCTTCAAAAGGCAGGAAACTCCAACTCCGGCTGCAACTCGGAGGAACCTGAGGACGTCATGCCGAGTGGACGGAGCCCGCCCGGCAAGCGCTGGTGCTGCGTGACGCCACTCCTATGGGGTCCCGGAGGGGTCACGCTCATAGAGACAGACGGTGGCATGGGGGCGGCGCCAGGGACTGGGGTGGGGGCACGGGGAGTTCGTGGTTAAGGGGGACAGTCCCAGTTTGGGGAGCTGAGAATGTTGTCTACCGTGTGAATGCACCTGATGCCGCTGAACCGCGCACTTACAAGGGGCTGATGGTAACTTGTGCGTGCGGTTCACAAAACAAAGAGCTAGGAGGGGAAACAGAGCAAGGTGTGTGCGTGGGGTGGGGGTGCAGGGTGCCAACACGGGCCCTCTGGGCAGCCTCACTGCGGAGGTCTCCACTGAGCAGACTTGAGCGCCACCAGACCAGCAGGGTGGCTCCTTGGGAGGGGGCTGCAGCCTGGGGTGCACCCAGGGCAAAGGCCCTGAGGTGGGGCGCTGGGAAGCCAGTGTGGGGAGGTAGAGAGGATGAATTTGCTGAGCACCTACCACGTGCCAGGCCCTGATGGCACCCCACTGCGGTGCGTGAATGTCGTCCCCCCAAATTCACATTGCAGTCCTGACCCCAGTAACTGAGAACCGGCTTTTACTGGGAAGGGGGGCTGGTGAAGATGGGATTGGCTGAGATGAGGTCACACTGGGGGACGCTGGGCCCTGACCCAACACGACCTGTGTCCTTACAGAGAGGGAACATGGACACAGAGGTGCACCCGGGGAGAAGACGTGGGAAGGGGGAGGCAGAGATGGGGTGAGGAGCTTACAAGCCAGGGAACCCCAAGGACTGCCAGCAAACCCCCAGAAACTAGGGGAAACTAGTCTCCCCCAGAGCCCCCATAAGGAGGCAGCCTCGCAGACCCCTCGGGGTCTGGCCTCCTGGCAGGGGGAGCATTTGTCGGAGAGCCCCCAGCCTGGGGCACTTGGTTCCCGAAGCCCCTGGAGGGTGGAGCGTTCTCACCGGCTCAGCTGGGAGCAGGATGTCACTGGGGGTGGGGGACACAGGGAGAGCCAGGATCCGCCTCGGCGCAGACCCTGCGGGCCCTCCTGGCCGGGCTGCGCCTCGGCTGGCTCCTGTCCAGCTCCCCGGGGGTGGCCCCAGAGGTCTGCACACACAGTGCAACTTGCTGCTGGGGAACACGCTTCCGGAAGAGGAGAGGCAGCAGGGCCACACGCGGCCCACAGCAGTGGCCCCTCGGACTGCCCACTCTGTCCTGGGGCACTGGCCCGGCTTGGGCTCCAGGGGCCACCAATAAGCTGGCCTGTCCTCACTCTCAAAGCTGGCAACCTGCTCAGGGAGAGAGCAGGGATGCCAGCCAGGCCTGAGGCTGCGCTGCCTCCTGCTCCGTGGCTGGCAGGGCAGGAAGCCACGGGGGCAACATGGGCTCTGGGGACTTCGCAGCGAGGAGGCGGGGCCAGACTCAGGGCCAGTCTCAGGAAGGTCAGGATCTGGCCCTGGCCCTGCTCTCGGGTCTTCGGTCTCCTCACCGGCGCCCGGGCTGCGTAGGGGCCCGAGGGTAGCAGGAGCCCTTCTTCGGATGTTGGAGCCAGGATTTTAAAAAAATGGGGTGGCAAGTCCCAAAGACAAAGCTGAAATGCCTCAGCACAGTGCTTGCCCCTAGTGCTTCTGTATGCCCTCTGGGGAAGGGCCCTCCCGTCTCTCAGGCAGCCCTCTCCTTCCCACCCTGAGCCTGCTCTGCCCCACCCGCTGTACCCTGCTTAATTGCTCTGAGCCGGGGTGTCCTCCCTGCCTCCCTCGGGGCCCTCTGGTGAGGCTGGAGCAGATTAAAGCGTTTCAAAGTGCTTAGGAAGGGATTTCTGCTAGGGAGCCTAGGGATGAGTCCCGGACACTGGCGGGGAGGCGGGGAGGAGGCCAGGCCCTCTGAGAGGGCACCCGCCACGGGCCTTATCCCACAGATGCGGAGCCACACCCGCGGGGGGCAGAGATGAGTCTCCAGACGCCAGGTCCTTCTGGCCCCTGCAGGTGGGGCTGCCCCACTTCTGGAACTGAGGCTCAAGGCTGAGAGCTGGCAGGTCGGTCCAATGAATGCCGGAAGGAAGGGGCTCCATCTCTGCCCAGCGCGCTCTCCTGCTGCTCCCACTGCCTACAAAGCCCTGTATCCATGGGGGGAGCTGTCATTCACACTTGGGTGCCCTCCCCTCATGCCTGTGAGTCCATATCCTGTATCCCTTTAGAAGCTGCTCCAACGCCACCTCCTCCAGGAAGCCTGCCTCCATTCCATCAGCCGGAAGAAGTTGGTCTCTCCACTGAGAACTATCAGATTCCATGTCTTACAGTAATTAATTAATGCATTAATTCGTGTGTTCATTCATTGACTCTTTCAACAACTACTCACTGACTGCTGACTGTTGAAAAGGGTCTGAGCTGGGCTCTAGGGGCTGGGAGGATGGGGGTCCCTGCCGTCAGGGGTACGGGGTGAGGATGCCCGCCAGTAATACCTGCAGTGGTTGGCCCCCATGCCCTACTCCCTCAGCCCAGGAGGGCCCCAGACCAGGGCCTTGCCAGCTGGGGACAGTAGCCACAGAGCTCGGGCTCTGGAGTCCCACGGAGATGGGGGAGAATCCCAGCCGGGGCCACCGGCCCTGGGCCCTTGGGATGGTCCGGGGGAACTGACCGGTGGCCTGGGGCCTGTGGTGAGGGTTACGCTGCCTGTGTGTGTCCGGGTCCCGCGCACCACCAGTGTGCCCCACCATGACGCTCTGTGGCTGCGTCTGGCCCCTGGCCCCTGGCGCACTCCTCGTGGTCTGCTCAGTCTCCTGGGCCACTCCTAGGGCTGCCTGGCCGAGGTCGGGGACCCTCTGGGCTGGGGAGGGGCCTGTTCTACCTGCCCAGGCTCCCAGGGCAGCTCCGGTGCCAGAACCGAAGGCTGAATCTGGAGGGGAAGAAAAATCCGCCCCCTGGGAAGTTACATAAGATTCCCTTTCCAGCACCCAGGGCAGCGAAGCCTGGGAGCCAGTGCCCCTTCCCTGCCTGGTCAGGAACTGTGTGGCTCGGTCTCCACGAGAGGGCCGGCCTCAGGGATCACGTGACCGAGAGCGCTGACATTCACAAGGCCAAAGCCATCACCTCGACCCTCCTCGCGTCAGCAGAGGGGGACCTGGGCTCCGGGACTTTGAGCACGGGTGAGGAGGGCATGTCATACCGGCCGGTACGCCCTGCTGGGACACCCACAGGGGACATCTGCAGGAAGCTGCTCCAGCAGCAACAGGCGTGCTGGCGGGAAGGGTGCGCACCCCACCTCGCCACTACCCCGCCAGGCGCTGCTGCTGGGTGCTGCAGGGGGCCTCCGCTCGGGTCTGGCTTTTGCTGGCTGAGCTCATCAGAGGTGTTGGGCTCCGGGTTTTCACCATGTGACCAGGGAATTCCCAACAGCCAGTGAGGTGGATCATCAAACCGCCATCTTGTGAAGAGGGAAACTGGGGCTCAGAGAGGTGAAGTGACCTGCCCAAGGTCGTTCAGCCACGCGGCGGCTCAGACAGGAGGCCAACCCAGCCTTCGAACTTACTCGCCCCCCCAGCCCGGAGGGGTCTGCAGGGCCCTCAGACGCCCACCGAAAGCACATATGCACCACAGGCAGATTCGACTTATGGTCCAGGTTCCATTTCTTTGAAAATTGGTAAACTGCCCAGGACGGTCGCTCGTGGCCAACAATAAGCTCAAATTGCCGTAGGAACATTCTGGTTAGGGGGATGCGGACTGATCCACAGTCACGAGCCAGGCAAGCATCTCTGCGGTCTGCCCCCGGGGTCAGCTGGGGACTGCAGTTCCCAGATTTGAGGATTATTTTTAAACACCGAATTTGGCGAGGCCAGAGAGAAGAGGAAGGAGGGCATGTGAAGAGAAACAGAGCAGGGGAAGATGAATTAAATCCCAGCGGGAGCAACAGATCTGTTTTGGTCCGTGAGGCGGGCTAGGCAGGGGAGGGGTGGCAGCAGACGTGGGGCCATGCAGGGAGGGGCGGCGATGGGCACCCCAGGCCCGACAGCTGGCCCCTGGCCCAGCACCGGGCGTGGCCAAGCGCATCATCTCTGGCCTGGACTAAGTCAAGGGCGGCACTGCCTGACCAAGGGTCAGGCCCTTGGGCTTGGGCCACATCTCCTGGGGCCAAGTCCTGGCTCCATGTTTTGTAACCATACCCTATGTGACCTGGGACAAGTCTCCTCAGTGTTCTTGGCTAAAATGGGAACAAGAATAGTATCTAATCACTGTGACAACTGAATGAAGCAATGCGT